TTTCTCATCCATCTAACGCCGAGGAAAGATCTGCTCATTCCAGGTAGGCTGAGGGGGCTCACTGCATGTCCCCTGGCATGACCACTAATTCTGGGATCAGCAAAAAGGTAGGCAGTGTTTGGCGTTCTGTCTGCAGGCCTGATCTGTAAACACTGATTACACTGCTTTCCCAGCCCTTCTCCCGGTGGCGTGTCTGTCTCCCAGGAGACTGCACGACAACAGCATCTTCTTTAGGGGCGTGAAGAGCTCGCTGCGCTGTGTGCGCGTTATGCAGGAGAGGGCGTGTAATTGCAAGGGAAGGCAAAGGAAGGCTATTTTGAGGAGCCTTGAATTGCTGATCCCAGGGTGCCTGCATCCCACCTTTTGTTCCTCATTTAAAAGAACGTAAATCCTGGTTGAACAGATAGCAGGAGGATACAACAGAGTCATCTGCTCATGTGGAAAAGTTCCATGGGAGGGAAGCTGGACATGAAACAACTGGAAGAGACAGCATATTCGTATAGAAATGGTACACAGAGTTCTCTCCCTGTCCTTGTCCAGGAAAAGACAATGGCCTCGTGATGTCAGCCCGCTCTCTGAAATGATCAGTATGCCGGTCATCTATATGCAGGGTTTCTTCCTGGGGGACTTACAAGGTTGTGACCCCATCGTGCATCAACTCTTATAACTGCTACTGGTACTTGGTACCTACAAAGCACTTTTCTCTTAAGGCTCCTCAAGCCCTTTACAAACAGTGACGTTTCCTAACCGCCCCCGGAGGTCAGTTTTATCATTCCTGTTTAAAGAAAGGAGAAGTGGCTTGTTCAAGACAGCAGAGATTGTAACTCTCTAGGACAGGGACTTTGGGCGAGATTCTGTGCTGTGCTCCTACGAGCTTTTAAACCACCCTTGTGCTAGGGGTGTGAACGGGAAACTAGTTCCCCAGTAAGCATTGCTCTTAGGCTATGTCTATACTGCTTCCTTCTTGTGCAAAAGATTATGCAAATGAAGCACGGATTAGCATATTGCTGCGCTTCATTTGCATAATCAACTAGGGGCCGTTTTTGTGCAAGAGGCTTTTGCACAAAAAGGAGCTGTGTAGACAGCTCCTTTTTGCGCAAGAGCCATTTCTCAAGAGGGTTTTTTTGTGCAAAAAGGAGCCGTCTAAAAAGCCTCTTGCGCAAAAACGGCCCCTAATTAATTATGCAAATGAAGCACGGCAATATGCTAATCCACGCTTCATTTACATGAGCTTTTACACAAGAAGGAAGCAGTATAGACGTCGCCTTACTGTGGCTGCTGTGGGCGGAGGGGCTGCCCCGGTGCAGGCTGGAAGCCGGCAGCAGACCCAGCATCGAGATCCTAGTTAGTCTCTGTGGTCCCTTCATGAATAAGCAAGGATTTTCCCCAGAACTTCTTCCACACGGGGACACGGGCTGTGACCGTCTGGTAGCTGTCCCAGCCCCGGGGCGGGGGAGGAGGGCGGAACCCCGAGGGCGCACGCTAGCCTACAGGAAAGGAGTGCTGCTCATGACACACCATTGGAGCCAAGTGCAGGTTTCAGCCCTAATGACTTTTTTTGTCCATCCTGCCACTCAGGCCAGCCATGCACTCTGTGGCTAAGAA